AATTAACTTTTATGACTTAATGTCTCTCTTGATCGTTTTTAGCTCTTCGATCGTTCTACACAATCATACATTTGATATGCATATCAGAATTTTAAGTATTATAATTCGATCCTTAACAACCCAAGCTAAAAGAAAGGCTTAATACAATTTTCCACTTTGAGTAGTATCAGTACCCTCATGTATGGTACCGATACTTCCCTAGCTGTGGTATCGATACCAAGTCTGGGTATCGATACCCTTTCCTGGATCTGGAATCCTTATTTCAAAATGGTATCGATACTTGACCTATGGTATCGGTACCCTTGGTATCGATACTATCCCTTTAGGTATCGATACCACTTGCATAATTTGTCCAATTTTGGCTTATGGCATCGATACTTATTCATATAGTATCGATACCCTCTATCAAAATTTAACCCTTTTCTCTTTGAAGTATCAGTATTGGATGAATAATACCGATACCCCATGCCTAGAATATACTTTTTATCCCAAAATTTACCAATATCGACTTAAACCCTTCATTTCTTAATCCCTTTCATACCCTTAAACTCAAATACACATACTCAAATCAATTTATATTCATATAACACATCTTTATCTTCAAAATCTTATCCTATATCTTGAAACCAAGAATCCTACCAATTTTCCAACATGCTCTAATTTAAATTCTAACACTTCATACTTCTTAATTTAACTGATGACAAGTCAAATTTGGTCTCAAACTTTACTTGCTAACTCTCTTTCAAGATTCCACTTATAACCCTTTTATCTTTAATCATTCCTAACTCCTTCATCTTTTGGTTTTAAGACAACTTAAGCTTTCCTTAGGCTTAAGTATCATCTAAAGAACATAAATCAAGCTTAAATTCAATAGCTAATCAGCTAGCAAGAAACTCACATTTTCCAAATAGTTTTCACGTCTGAAGGAGGAGGAAGAAGAAGAGTTCTTTGGAAACTTTGATTTTTGCCTCCCTCCAATTCCACGTGTATATATCCTCACCATAATACTTTTTTAATTCATTTATTGGTCAAATGCCCATTTTACCCTTCCAATCATCCTTCTTTTTTATTCAGTCATACACAAAATTTTCCATATAAGCCTCTAAACTTTTCAATTTATCTACTTTAGTCACTAAATTATAAAATTTTACAATTTGATCACTAACCCGGTGTTTGAGATGTTACAGTTTGGGCCTCTTTTTTGGGGTTTGGATAAAAAGAGGGTAGGTTCTTTTTTTAGGGATAAGCTTTGGTTCAACCGACCACTATTGGTGGTGGTCTAGCAAAGTCGATTTATGGTTAGGGACTGATAGTGTTGGGGGTTAAAGAGTACGTCGACTGTTTGGGAAGTTGGGTTTTGGTTTATTAGATCTCGATTTAGTTCTTTTTTAGATGGAGGAGGTCTCAATTATGTGATAGGGGAGTTTTAGGACCTACAATCTCCACCAGTGGTGGCTAAGGAGGCGTGATCGCCAATATGTAGCGGTGTTTATTGGTCACGAACTTTTTGGTCGGGGTAGAGAAGAGAGGAAATGTGAGCAAGTGACCCCCTTTTTGGCTCTATTGGGTGGCCTTTTCAGCTACCCATGCTTTTCTCGACGTCCGACGAGGGGGACGACCGTATGTGCTTGGCAGTTAGAGCATTTTTGAGGCCTTAGGGTTGAGGTGCCGCCACCAGTGGGAATAAGTTGTGGAGAGTGAGGAGAAAAGATAAGAGGGGAGGCCTTTTAGGGTAAGGCTCTTTTTTACATGAAGTAGAAAAAAAAGTATTACATCAAAAGTTTAGGGTTAATCACGTAATGATCCTTTAACTAATGTCGTATTTTTATATTTTAGTCACTATGCCTCTATTTTGTTTTATTAATTTTCCTTTTGGCATTTTCTTTTATTTTTAGTTCGATTTGGCCACTTCTTAATTTTCTGTTTATTTCGAATTAGATTATATTTTTGTCACCTTGTTACATTTAATAACCTGACTTTAATTAGATTTGATCCCTTTAATTTTTGTTACCTTTCTGCTCCTTTGTTTATACCTCATTTTAACATATTCATGTTTCGATCCTAGTTCTTTATTTTAATAAACTTTGTTTTTTGTATTAAATATGTTTTTATACATATAAACCATTTACTAAAATATTTTTATTTTATATAAGGAATTTATATAAGGAATTTATGGAAATGCACCTGACAATGAGTGTGTTTAAGAGAATTATTCGTATAGAATAACACATTTACATTTTTTTATATATTCGACTGATTTTATATATTAAATGTGTGTGTTCCCTTCAGAAAAATTATTTTTATACATATAAACCATTTACTAAAATAATATTATTTTATATAAGGAATTTATGGAAATGCACCTGACAATGAGTGTGTTTAAGAGAATTATTCGTATAGAATAATACATTTGCATTTTTTATATATTCGACTGATTTTATATATTAAATATGTGTATTTCCGAAAAATTAAACGAATATTATATTGTATGAGAAATTTATGTAAAAAAAATGCGCCTTAACTAAGAAGGAGCATATTTTTTAGGATTGTCGTACAAAAGAATTATCTTTTCGAAATTTTTGTTATAATAGGATCATAATTTAAATATATATTCAAATTTACGAATTTCAATATTCAGATGAAATATAATCATTTAGTTACCGATTTTGGGCATTGTGGGTGCTAATCATTCTCCAAGCGTAATCAACTCCCGAACCCTTTTTCATTTTTAAAAATGAGTTTCTAGTTAAAGACATATCACTTTTTATCTTTTAAAATTATTTTTTTTAAAATTATTTTAAAGGCCTTAGGTGTTCCAACCTAAGTACTTAATCCAAATATCAATGGCGACTCAAAATTTATTTTTCCCGCCATAGCCTAAAAAGCTTAAGGAACGTTCAAACCATGCATACATCTCTTACAAGTAGCCTTAAAAGATACAGCACTTTGTTATTACTACAAGTTATTTATTTATCTATCTATCATTAACGCATATATAATATGACTAGTACGTAAGTAGCTGACAAAAGGCGGGTGATTTAGGGTTCTAGTGACCACCAGGTAGCTTCTCCTTGATCTTATCCATCACCCCTTTCTTCTCCTGGTGGTGTTGAGGATACGTAGGCCCTTGCCCCCGGCGTTGTGGCTGACGCCGCCTGATATTGCTGCTCTTTGTGCCCTCCTCGTGGTAACTTCTCCTTCAGCTTATCTTTCACTCCCTTCTTCTTCCTCCCCGTTCCCTCGTCCTCAGATGACTTCATCAATATCCCACAATTATTACTATCCCTATTTCATCATTTATTATTCAAACATACTAACGTATACTTACGGAACTCGAGCTAGAACTTCCACTGCGACGGAGTTCATGATGCTTTCCTTGATGATGCCCGCTGATCCCTGCAATTCCACGGCCCGTCTCCTGTGCCGGAATCGGGTTGCCGTACTCATCGGTCTGGCGAACCGGGTTTCCAAATGCGTCAGTTTGAGTTACTTCGGGAGCTGAATATTGGTTCTGGAAGTGTGCCATATTTTTTTTCTCAACTATAAACCTGAAACAAGAACAATGAATGGTCGAAAGAAAACTGGGTTCTGATTCGTTTTATCGGTGGAAAGTTGATAGGGTGAATAAGGGTTTTTATAGGAGAGAAAAATGAATGCGTAGCATGTAGCCATGAACACTGCAAAATGACACTAGCTGTTCACTCGGTTGCCACGTTGTTGTTGGAAGCTAAGTGTCGCAATAGTATCAAGGACAAGTGCTGAAGATGTTAGCTATTTGGTATTAGATAAGATTCATTATTTATTTCCCTCCTAAGGATCATATATCATTTCATATTCTTTGAATATGAAGATACATCCTAATCCAATAAATTATAAGCTCTTTGTTTATTTATTTATTTTTGAGTAAATTACAAATTTAATAACTATTATTTTATTTATTTAAGTACTTTCAAGTCACTACAACAAAAATGTTCTTTAGCGGCGTTTTTTAAGTATTATAGCAGCGTTTTTAAGCGCCGCTAAAAGCACACGCGGCGATAGCAAAAACGCCGCAAGAAGCGTCGTCAATACCAGCGTCGCTAAAGTTAGCGGCGTTTGTGGAAAAAAAATGCCGCAATAGGTCGAAATCTATAGTGGCGTTTTTGGAGAAAACGCCGCAAAAGGTCAGATCTATAGTGGCGTTTTTGGAACAAACGCCGCAATAGGTCGAGATCTATAGCGGCGTTTTTGGAACAAACGCTGCAGAAGGTCGAGATATATAGCGACGTTTTTGGAATAAACGTCGTAAAATTTCAGATCTATAGCGGCGTTTTTGTATGCAAACGCCGCTAATTATCGTTCTTGTTCTAAGATTAATTTATATTTTGCATATTTCATTTCTTCTCTACATCACCTAAATTTATTATCATGTAGCTTTATCTAATTGACATCAAACATAAATTTAAACAAAATAAATTAAAAATTATAAACATTAAAATTAAAAGTAATGTAGTTTGATATTGTTCTCTAGAATTTATTCTAGCTACTTTCACTTTCAATTAAAAAAAATATTATTCACTAGAAATTCACCAAATAAATCCCCTAGCTCTGGTTCACCAAGAAGACTCCTTGCGCGCTTCAATGCTTCACTTGAAACAGATAACGAAGTAGCAAATTGTTTCTTACATGCATCGTATGAGTCTTCCCACTGCTTGTCACGCCATAAGCAAATATGGTGTCTGTGAACAAAATTTAACACTGTAAGGTAAAAGAACAAGTTTTGAGAAAATACAAATTAAACGCCATAACTTTCGATATCAACCCACAATTTCTGATGCAAAACTGTGAGTACTATTCAGAGAAGGCCAAAGCATAGGATACCTAAGCAATTAAATCATTCCAGAAATCTAAACTAAGTTTTCCTAGATTAAAATGGCCTTCCTACAAAGTGATTATGATGTGGAATCCTGAATGGGGAAGCCATTAAATAAACATCATGCCACAAGCATAAAATAAAAACCTCACTTCTGAGAGAAAGAAACCTGTATAATAGCCTTAGGACAACGTGTTAAAACTGCTTCAATGAACTCATCAATAATTGATAGATACTTTTCCCCTTCTAACCTAGGTTGTCTTAGTCCTAAATCTGTACAAACCCAAACAATCTGTTAAAAAAAAAGTAATAGAAAGCATTTCATATGTTCCAGTCTATGCAGGGAATAACTACATAAGAACAAAGTAATTAAATACATTTTTTACTCACAAAGTGGGTTGTCAATTAGCTTTAGATTGTTAGTACCAACATCTAGCATAACTGGGTGTATCTGTCAAAGACATATTGATTGAATTATTAAAGTTATAACACAAGAAAAGAGAGTTGCCATGTCAAAAAAAGTTGAAAATGTAAAATACAATAATAACAGGGAACAAATATTTACAGGTAGATATAAACCAAATAGTTGCAAATAAGCTCACATGCATATAACAGAGAGCTTCAACTGATGGTTAAACATATCAAATACAACCAACATCCCAACACAAGTATGAAAATGGTCGCAAATGGTTAAACTTCCCAAGCATACACATCACAAATTCTTACCTTTAACTCGTCTCTACGTACAAAATGCTGCTGATCACCCCTTATCCTGCATAACGATAAACAGATTCCATCGATCATCACTTCAGCACCTTAAACCCTATTATTTGAAGCTCAGATGAAAATGATGCATTTTGTTTCAAGCAGGAAGATTAAAGGATTATGAATAAGAATATTTCGACGACCAGGAAAGGCAAGGATCGTACGTGTCAAGAATAAGACGTTCATAAGCTTCTGAGATCGTAACACCTTGATAGTGTTGCCTGTATGAAAAATCCAGTTCACTTTGCACCGTTGAGAACTCCAGACCAGGCTGCTTCACCTACAACATAAGCAAAATGCAAATCAGTATACATGCATAAAGATCTTGCAATAAATTATAGCAACAGTTTCCTAGCTTAAACTAAAAACGCAGGATCCTGACACTCATGGTTGGCTGCATGAGCAGTTTTCGTAGAACACCACTTCGAATATCAGTAAAATCTAGAACATCGATATGGATGTTTCTAAAATATGATAAAATGAAGAAGGGGCATCAAGTATTCAGGATTGGTTCTCAACAGTGCCTAAAGGTTTCCACAAGGAGAATCGGAACATCTGCACGATTGACAACTGAAGATTTACGATTATGTGAAAAGGTAACCGTTGGTTCTGAAATATATTATGTTCAAATTTAGGACAGAAATAGCAGAACTTATTGATTTCTCTTGATGCATAAAGGAAACTCTACAAGCAGGAAACTCTGCATACATGGAAATTATAGCTCTAATAGCTTTCAGATGGATACGATGAGTTAAGCGAACTCACTGTTAGTTTCATGTACATCGCTTCATAAGGTTGCAAGCGTATGATAAACTCATTTCTCCCTTGCTTTTGACCTAAATAAAATGTCAGAATACTTCAAAAGAGTTGCAGCTCTACTGAAACAAGCAATCATATAAATGAAGTTCCAAATAATCTTATAGATCTACTGTCATACATTGGAATATATCCCCAAGAACCTCCTTAAGTTGAATGTGTATCTCCGCCTTTCTTGAATTCAAAGCTTTCCATGCCTTTAGTATAAATGGAACACCTGACACAAATCAATCAGCGGAATTAGAAAATCCAGTGAGAAGCTCAAATTAAATTTATTCTTCGCTTGATCCAATGGAAAATCACACAAACCAGTGACCAACAGATTTTCAGACATGGAAAGATAAAGTAACATCAAATTACTAATGAGTTGTTAAGCTTTTCCAGGACTGAGGCACCAAAAAGAGATTTTTATGAGAGAAAATAACAAATGGAAAGATACAACTATACTACCTTCCCATATTTCATTATGTAAACGTAGAATAACAGTTGCAAATGTAGAATAACGATATCATATTGTTTCATCTTGGAGACTGCTCTGAGCAGATGGTTAAAAGCCACAATTGAGGGCAAGTTTCTCATTAAAATCATGAAATTGAAAAAACCCAGAGCTTCATCAAGCTCAAAGGATCTCGATTTACACTTATCTATGACCAATGTCTCCAGATGGGTGGGTTTAGACATACCCATATTCACATTTTCAATAATTTCTCTACAAGCTTCAAAACCCGACTTTCTAACACGAAAACCCCAATCCTGTAGCAGAATCTGACATGATAATTTTACAAACCACTTAAAGCTTATCTCAGTACTGATCTATTTGTTACTAAACATACTATAAGCTATAGTCATTTCTAATTTATAGAAAAACTTAATAAGAATTAAGGATGAATTATAGATAAACTGTAAGCATTTTTATTTCCAATGCAGGCTAAAATCACTAAAAAATAAACAAATCAAGCCAACAATTTTAACCACTTCCATAACCTGAAATGAGCATATAAAAAACCCTAAAATATAGTAAAATTTACTAACCAGGCCTTTCAGGATTCAAATTGGTTTGACGAAGAGCCATTTTGCCAAAAGAAAAAATAACATTCAAGCAAGAGCGAAACCAATCAACAAGAGAAGAAGTAGCGCGAGCGAAACCATCAATCAATTTATCACAATCAGTTTCCAAAAGAAAAAGAGAGGTAAAAACCCTAATTTGAAAGAGAATAAAAATTCGTATAACTAATTAGATAGAAAAAACAGTTTTAGAATTTACAGATGGAGAGCCTCGATGAACTTGTTGTTCGGGTTCAGTCCAGTTCCCTCTGGACTTATATCTCGTTTTACTTTTGGTCTAAATGTATTGGGAGCAACCCAGAGCAGTGGCACGGGAGGCAGAGCGCTAAGAGAGGTGTAGTGGTGGTGAAGCAGGAAATTTGAATTAAGTGGTGGTGAAGTAGAGAGGGAAGAGAGAAGATAGAACATTTTTATTTTTCAGAAAGGGAGGGAGCCAGAATGAAAAAAATAGGTGAAAGGGAAAACATGAAAAAGGATGCGAGAATTGTAAACTTTAAACTTTAGCAGCATTTTTAAACACAAACGCCACTAAAGTACGAGTCTATATCGGCGTTTGTATAAAAATGCCGCTAAAGAATGTATTTATAGCGGCGTTTGAATAAAAACGCCACTAAAGTACGTGTCTATAGCGGCGTTTGTATAGCCGCTAAATTACTACTCTTTTGCGGTGTTTGTATAAAAAACGCAGCTAAAGTACTACTCTGTTGCGGCGTTTGTTAAAAATGTCATAATATATGAACCCTATTACAACATTTTTATAAAAACACCGCTAAAGTACTACTATGTCACGACGTTTGTTTAAAAAACACCACTATGGATGAATCTATTGCGGCGTTTGTATTAAAAAGCCACTAAAGTACTACTCTGTTGCGACATTTTGTATAAAAACGCCGCTAAAGTTACTATTTTGTGGCGTTTGAAGTGTAAACGTCGTTATATGTTTAAAGTTAGTGGCGTTTACTCTCAAAACGCCGCTAAAAACGCCGCTGTATAACAATTTTGCTGTAGTGAGTTTTTAAATTTCTTTACTAAACTTAATACATTAATTTTTTTATTCAACCGTTTTCTCACTAACAAGATTATAAATGAGTTGTTCTATAGATACAAAAAAACGTTGCTTTAGTGAAAATTATGTTTTTTAAAACGGTATCGTTTTAATGCCGTTAACCATTTGACAGTGGTGTGATAAAAAAACTCAATGTATTAAGTTTAGTGAATAAATTGAAAACCTTTAAAGTTCAATGATGAAATTTGTAATTTACCCTATTTTGTTATAAAATAATTTTATTTATATTACAAAACCCATCTAGTTGTCTTAGTTGTAAAGAAAAATATTAATCTCTTTCGAAAATTTGAATTCGAACAATGACATTTGTTGAAGTTAATCAAGTGACTTATTGTTAAGTATTTGAATTATTATTGCCACCTTGATAATATATATATATATAACATAGTAAACCTGAAGCATTCATTTAGTTATTTTGATGGAAAATGAAAATTTAGTTTAAGTAATTACTTCGTATAATTATTATATTTATTTAAATTAAATTATTTAATAAAAAATTAATATTTTAGTTATGGTTTATTATGCCCATTGCGTTCTTAGATTGTGAAATTGTATGCAAAGTAATAGGTAAAAGTAAGTATTAATTAATTGATTATAAAAAAGTTTAATAAATTATAAGTTACAGTTGTTTATGATATGAAAGATAACTTAGGTCGATAGATAATTTATAGTTCGTATAATTATTCTTAGTATATAATTCATGTTAAAATTATTATATCATTTAAATCTAAAATTTATATATCTTATTTATTAAGAGAAGTACACAAATGATCCTATGACAATAGGATATTATTTTATTGAGTTCCCCGACTATAAGGAGTTGATTTGTTGAGTATTTCGACTATTCAAAGTTACAAAATGGTCACATGACTATTCATTATGTTCCAAACTCGTCCTTTTTCGTTAAAAAATTAACGACAACCTGAGTTGGACGTTAACATACTGATTAAGATATGATAAAATATGATATCATAATCTCAAAGAACTATCATATCTCAATCAACATGTTAACGTTCAACTCAGACGACTGTTAATTTCTTAATGGAAAAGGGCGAGTTTGGAACATAATGAATAGTCGGGTGATCATTTTGTAACTTTTAATAGTCAAGGGATTCAACAAAGTAGTATCATATAGTCGAAGGACCATTTGCGTACTTTACCCTATTTATTATTGTTAAAATAGATTGAATCATGAGTAGAGACATAATTGTGGTTGATTGAATAAGATAACACTTTGAATTGAACCCAAGATAAATGAATCTTAAATTTATTTGTAAAATAACTTTATTTGAGACATTCAAAACATTTTTACCTTAATCTTAAATAAGACTATGTAAGTGTGACTTGTATACATCGCTATACAAAGAATCGATACGTTTCAAAATAGGAAGTTAATGATTGATATGTTAAGTATGTAACTCATAAATTATGTAATTGAATTTATAGATATGAATTAACCCAAAAATAAGTGATATAATCTCAATTGTATTGTATTATTTATGAAAATAAAAATTATCATATATATCATTCATTTGAATAGTCTAAGTAACTCACATACATTGTTACTCGAACTAAACAAGAACTAGCAAGATCTACATCAACTGATAACATGTTTTAAATATATTGATTACGTATTTAAGTCAATTAACTCAAATATGATTTCGCAAATTTTAAAAGTTAAGTAAAATCTATTTTAATATAATTTTTTATAATCTATTGTCTGGATGTGTTAAAAAATTTCTAGAGTTTAAATTAGGGTAAACAAGAAGATTGATTACTTTCGTTTTAGTTTTGTATATTTTTCTTAACTAAATTTAAAAAACATAATATTTAATCACTTTTACTTTTATGAATAAAGATGTGATCACTCTTATTTAATTTCTTCATTAATGGCAATTAAAATTTAAGTGACTAAACATTTATGAGTTGATAAGTGAACACATCCTTAATTATATAAAAATGGAATCATTCTTTACGCTTAACATATTAAAAAACATAAAAAAGGACGAATTGCTAAACTCAAATGAATTAACATAAATTTCTTAATGCTGAATCAATTTCAAATTCCAACCTTTTCATTTACTCCGTAAGGGTAGCAAGTAACCTCTGGGGTACATACGTCTTGTGTTTACAAGCGAAACATTGAGTTTCCTCTCATGGACATAGGGAAATGCATCATCTCGAATTGAACTTGATCCGTTTAAGCCTATAATGAGTGAGGGTCGAGGGTCTAGCTGACACAAGGGGGCACTAACAAAGGACAATTCGATGACCCATTTTAGTAATATCGAAACTCTACCCGTTTTGTGCTGAAATTTTGTCTGTATTTCTTCAAAAGTCACAAAGAGGAAACTCATTCTAACCTTTACTCAGAACTACTTATTTAGTTATTTATTTATTTTGCAAAAAGCATGAGAACTAAAAGGGTATGCAATTAGGTTTTATACGAAGTATGTGAACTAGAAAAATGAGGTTAGGATTTATATATTGAACAAACCATGGGGGTAGAAAACATGTCTGCGTAGAACTGTTATAAAAGCATGTCAAGGTAGGTACCATGTTGGGTAGGATCTTTTCTTTTCGTAAATATTTTTTTCTTGCTTTTTTGGTTGAGTGGTACTAACAATTTCTTTTGTTTTATCTTATTTTTATCTACCTTATGTTTGCATTTGCATTTTCACAACATAACTAAACAATGTGTTAATTCATAAGTAATTGATAAAATCAGAAGGCTTTCATATCAACATAAGAGTTCCATAACTAGATAGTCAACTCCGTAAGGGCTACGACTTACAAACAAAGTTGATAGATGAGAGAAGAGCTCAAAGATCGATCGAAGATTCCCTTTAAACAAAGATCAAGATGGTATCAAATAGTCAGATAATAGTTGAGTCAAGAGTGAGAAGATTCTTCATAAGAAATCAAGGCATCTTTCCTCTCGGATAATCCCACGAAAATGGAAATTCACAATGGGTGAATTAAAACAAAGAAATGTGGGTTAACACTTTGAGCAGTCCAACAACGACTACAAAGACAACATCAAATCGCGAGAAAGGCCTAGATCGAGTGAATGAAGAAAATGAAGCTCGTCAGTCTAGTGTAAGGAGCATTTTTGGTCTGATGTAGGTTGTTCTATGATGATCGCTTTTGGAATTAACACCTAGTGTATTTGCATTTGCATATGCATTTGCATTTACATTATCGTTTTGAATTAGCTTATCAATTTTGCTATTTGCTTCTATAATAATCTTGTTATATCATTTGTACTAACTTGTTTTTATGATTTTTTTTCTTTTTGCTTGCATCACATGATCATGACATAATCAAAAGTTGTTGATTTGTGAGTGGTCATCAGAGTAAAAGGTTTTCATGATGGACAAAGGGTTTTACGGTCAAGTAAACTATAACACAACTAGGGAATGACATCTTGAGGAGACTCTGAGGATAGTGGAGAGTTATGCACCCAAAAATCGTATGTCCAAAGAAGAGCAAAATGTGATAAGAGAGATAAGAGAGAAAATATCCAAGAAGATGAATAGATTAGCTGTTCTGGCCA